CATAATTTATAATATTTTAATAATAATAATAACAAATTTAAAAAATCCAAATTATTAAAAAATAATAAATATGATCTATTTTAATAATTATATATATTACTGTATTTTTTAAATTTTAATTAATAATTAATAAAATTTATCATGTTTTAACTATAATATTTTTAAAAAATAAATAACCAAACATTAAAAAAAACTTTTAGTTATAGTTATAATAAAGTATAATTTAATACAATCACAATTATAATATTTCATAATAATCCTAAATAGACCCTTAATCTTCAATTATAAAATATCAATTATTAAAGGTAAAATAGTCCCCACAATTAAAAATCCTTTATAATTTTGATGGTTGGCACTTTGCGTCCTACTCAATTACGACCTCAACACTAAAGTATCTTTTACATCACGTGCACGAATTGACCACAACACTAAAATATCTTTTAAATCAGCTAACGTTAAGAAAAGAAAAAGAAAAAGAAAAAGAAAAAGAAAAAGAAAAAGAAAAAGAAAAAAAAATGGGAAACACTCTTCTTAAACCCTTCAATTTATCTCAAAATAACATTTAAATCCCTAAACTAAAAATAAAATAAATAAATTTTCTAACTGCACTAGTGATGTAAATAAACCTTTCTCATTGATGAGTGTTCATGCTTTCAAAAAAATATTATACATGAAATACTGTTTAACCAATTTGTGAAAAAGATTATTTGTATCATTAGTGAAGTTAGAGGATTATCTGCTTCGTTTTTAATTTAAGCATTTAAATGTTATTTTTGTGTAAATTTAGGGGGTTTAAGAAGCTTTTTTTTTTTTTTTGGGTTTCCCATCGGGTATCTGGGACTTCGCCCCGATTAATTCAGATCGACTCGCGTTGTGCACCTGAAAATGGTGGGTGAGTCTCTCAACGAAAGCTGCTGCGTACATAAGGTCTAGAACTCGAAACTTTATTTAAGTTAGAACAAGTCACTTACCACTTGATTCAATCTCTCGTTGATATTTAAAAAGCTTTTTGGCAAAAAAAAAAAAACAAAGATACGGCCAAATTAATTAATAAAACATTTTTAAAATTATTCATAAGATGGATTAATTTCGAGAACTGGGGAAATAGCCTAAAAGTAATAATAAAACAAAAATACAAAACCAAAGACAACGAGATAATCTTTCTAAAAGTTGTGCTAAGATTTTATATTGATAGGTACCTTCGGGAGGAGTATAGCCCTGTCCAATTAAATAGCGAAAATGGAGATAACCCAAGAACCCGCATGCGCTGGTCGTCCAGAACAGAACTTCGGGAAGGCCAAGCTCTTGGGCTGCATCGAGGGTGAAGCTCATGATTCCATCTGAAACTATGCAACTCACTGGTGGATTATTCAGGGAGGGGTCGTTGAGCTTGCGGAGGAGTTCTTTGAAAACCAACGACTTGTTGATCCGAATAGAAGAAATTTGGTTCCCCTTAAATAAGACCTTAAATTCGAGTTTTGTGAATAGAAAAATAAGTGTTAAAAGAGTTTATTCCAAATGAGGTCAAACGCGACTCAATTCTAGATTAATCAAAACCCAATGTAATTACCGAATACCGAGAGATTAGTACAAAAAAAAATATAAAAGAGTTCTTTGAAGGGTTCAAGGCAAGTTTTCCCAATGGACTCACACAAAGGAGGTACGTCTTGGGTAGCGTCAATGTCGCTAGGAGGGGAGCCCATCAGGGATGGTGTCGAAACGAAACAACGGGAGACCATTGAGAGAGTTAGAGCCTCTAGATTTGAGAAGGCATTTATGGTTGAACTCGGTGTTGACGAAGGTGATGTGGAAGCCCCTGTGGTGCAGTAGCTTTGCTAGCTTGAGCATGGGGTTAATGTGACCCTGAGCAGGATCTAGAATGCAAACAGCATGAGGCTTTTCTAATTCCAGAGAGCCCATTTTGCTTTGACTTCTTGTGTTTGCCAATAATAAAGTACAAGGAAAGGTTTGTGGAAAGGGGGTCGACTTTGGTTTTTTTTTTTTTTTTTTGTATTAACCTCTAAATATCCAATAATTACATTGGGTTTCGACTAATTCGATATCGAGTCGCATCAAACCTTATTAAAGAGAAGCTCTCCAAGCGCCTATTTCTCTATTCACAATACTCAAACTCAATACTTTACTTAAAGAGAACGAAACTCCTTTCACTCGGACCAATAGGTCGTTGGTGACTTTGGTTACTTTGGTGCCTTTTTATAGGACAGAAAATGGGGTAAAAGGGTCTTAACAATCAAATTGGATCAAATGATGCAAATTTGAAAAAAGTTAAACAAATTACGCAAATTGAAGAAATGCCAACAAGAAACGGAAGAAAGGCCGCCTAATGGACAACAGGCACGAGTACAAAGTCCAATTTTTCTTTATTTCATTTGAAAAATGATTGAGAACTAATTAATTTTTTTCACACTATTTTCATAGTCTTATATATTCTTTAATGATATATTTTTCTCTTTTTATTGAAATTTACGATATCACATATATTTACTATTTGAATAAAATATAAAAACTATATGCATAAATCATAAAAAAATTGTACATATATGATTACCAATTTTGTTTTATATAGACATGCAGTATTATGACTTGGATTGCTTATTGGGGGGCATCCGAGGACTAAAAGGTTGTGGGAGGTAGTTGTAAATAAATTTCAAGTCAAGCTTGCTGCTTGAAAAAAGCTACATTGTTCTTTAGAGGCTGCATCACTTTGCTAAATTTAGTACTCTATACTCTTTCAATGTTTTATATGTCTTTATTTTACTATCGAATTGTGTGGTTTCTGAATTAATTACAATTCAAAGAGATTTTTTATGGGGTGGTGTAGAGCTTAACAAAATTTCTCTTGGGTGAAATGGGATTCTATTTGCTATAGTAAAGATAAAGGGGATCTTGGGGTGCTTGATATGTGTAGAAAAAATTGGGTTTTACTTGGGAACTGGCGGTATAGGTTATGAGATGGGGTGGAGTGTGGTATGAGAAAAGTATTACGGGGAGAAAAAGGAGATAGATATTACTATTGTAGGGGGATTATATATATCTCATATTTGGAAGGATGTCATGAGTACTAATAGGAAGTCAAAGAAACCTAGAGATATGTTGGTGAAGGGGTTCAGGTGGGAAGTAGGAGATGGGGTGGAGTGTTGTATGAGAAAAGTATTATAAGGGGAAGAGGGAGGTAGATATTACTATTGTAGGAGGATTATATATATCTGATATTTGGAAGGATATCATGAGTACTAGTAGGAAGTCAAAGAAACCTAGAGATATGTTGGTGAAGGGGTTTAAGTAAGAAGAGAGAGATAGACAGCAGGTGTGTTTTTGGAGAGAGAATTGGTTGGGGGATAAAACCTTAAAGGATATGTGTCCTAGGTTATTTGAGTTGGCTATAAATAAGGTACATGTATGGAGATGGGGGAGTGGGATTGAGGTTGTAGGAGATGAAGGATGGATTGGTGAAGGTGGCAAATAGGCAAGGAGTTAGGTGAAGAGGAGGTGCTATGGGAGTTGTTGGGAAGTGTGGCCAATAGGGGAAGCAAGGAGGACAGATGGAGCTGGTTATATGGTGGGGAAGGAGTTTATACATAAGAAAGTTCATGAGTTTTTATCTCATAGTGAAAATATTGTAGAAGAATAGGTGTGCAAGATTATATGGTGCAAGTTAGTCCCTTCAAAAGTAAGTTTTTTTAGGTGGAGATTATGTCTAAACAAGCTTGCTACAAAGGGCAATTTACATTAAAGGGGAGTGGCTTTGCAAAAGGATGAGCTAGAGTGTGGCTTGTGTAAGGAGCAACTAGAAGAGAGCAACCATTTATTTTGTACATGTAAAGAATCATGGTTGGTTTGGATGAAGGTGTTGAGGTTAAGCTTGGCAAAAATCAACCCAACTTGTGAACCCAACCTAAACCCGACTCGTGAAAACGGGTTAAGGTCTATATATTTTAACCTGTGACCCGTTAGTAACCCATAAATTTGACCCGAATGGGTCACAGGCAAAGTTTTGAAAACCGACCCGAAGGTCAAACCATTTTGACCTCCGATTTTCAATTTGATCAGTTTAATCAGTTAAATTGTTTAAACCATCGACTTAATTACATATGAATATAATATGATGTAATGATCTAACATAAAAGGTGTAGTGGCTCGACTAGTTTGTCACTTCGTCTATCGTGAAGGAAACGCGTGTTCGAGTATAATGGGCGTCAAAATGTTATTATCATATTTCTAAACCTTCCAAATAAAA